CACCTCTTTTTCGATGGATCCAAAAAATATTTTAAACATTTTTGATTTTATAGAGTTAGTATAACTTTTCGATCTAACACCATGCATACCATGACTATTTTTGACCAAACTGATCATACTAGATCTAGCCCAACACTCGTCCACTATAATGGCGCTGAGTTTGTAGCTGGTATCCCATCATGTAATGATATTGTGGCAGAATTCAATAATGGGATGACCGCTATACTTTAGCAATGCTTATCTAATAAGCAACCCATGCATGTTATGCTTACTGCTGTAAGTGATGAGACCGAATACATTAATAAAGTATCCACCTATATTTTGCATGTTAGTGGTTGCTTGATTAATGGCAAAAGGCTATCGTGAATATTATGGGCATTAAACCTTTCTTTGATATCATAGTACCTAAAGAGACATTATTACCTACATTTAAAACCAGATTAGTAAATATACTGTCTAATACCCTCAAAGGCATATCGAAATTCGGGATCGAGCATATTAGCGCTTTTCTACTTCAAGAGTATTATACAGAAAAGAAACCATATATACGTATTACTACTTGGAATCATTTTGATTGATATAAGGCATTAAAAATAGTTTGTGAAGTTAGTATTAGCACTGCTTCTGATGACCTAAATCCTATATATTATTATCGTAAAGTAGCTCGTGAAAAAAGATTACCTCTTTCAAGCTGGGCGGTACTAAGTAACTATTCATACAAATACAAAGGAAATTCATCGGCAAATATTTATTCCTTCCAAGTATCTGTGAACAATTACAATCCAATCAGTGAAGATGATTATAATAATCCATTATTTTTCTCAGCACTTTCACAGGATCACACTTTTGTTTTCACATGGGATATCAAAACATATAGCTTACGAAAAACAGGTGAGATGCCTAATGCAAAATATGAAGAAGACGTTGTGTTCATGATTTGTATGACTGTTTATTGGAAAGATGATCCTGAACTGTTAAAACAAATCTGTTTTGTTAATGTTAAAACTGCACCAGACTCATGCTTGATTACAATTGTATGTGAGAACCAAACCAATTTACTGAAAGCATTTGCATTATGTTGGAAATGTTTAGCTCTGGATATACATATAGGCTTTAATGATTCACAATATGACTGACCATTTATTGTGGAGAAGGCGAAAAAGTTAGGCGTTCTCAAATGGATGTTCAATCATATGTCACTAAAATCTATGAGCCTCAAAAAGATTACAAAATGGCAATATCAATATAACATGATAAAAGTAAATGATTAGAACTTCTATTTGAGACATCTTAAAATTCCTGGATGTGTGGCTATTGATGTCTGACCCTGTTTTAAGAAATTCTACCCTAAAGCCGAAAAAAGT